AGACATCAAGATAGACGCGATACGCGCGGGGTTCAAGGACTTCGCGTGCGACATGATGAAACACCTGCTGACCGAAGTGCACATTGCGATTAATAGAACCCGAGAGTTTTGGACTGGCGCCATTGAAGGCGCCATTGAAGGCCCCTAAGGAAGAGGAGCCGGCCCCACCACGTCGCGAGAAAGTCAAGGTCTGATTTCCCGAACCCTTCAGTGGGAAGAAGGGTGAAGATTTTGATAATTGGGAGGCCAATGTGCACTCCTATCTGTATCTGCAGGGAGTCACACCTTAGAGACGAAGCAACTAGCTTTGCTAGGTCGCTAGCCCGCGCTGCCAACTGCGATAACGATATGGTTACATACTCCAGACTGACACCCCTGCGTTCTTGCCATACCCTTTGATCTATACCCAGATCTAACCAAGGTCGGCCTTCAGGCCGACCTGGATGCCACCTTCCTTGTCTAGGAGGTGACCGACTAGAACTCGAACGGTTAAACGGGGGACCTCCCCTTCCTCCCGCGTGGCGGTTGCCATAGCCGCCAACCCCCTGGCCGCCCTGCCCTCGGCCACCCTGGGCCCGACCACTTGGGCCGGACCGTTGTCCTCCTTGCGGCCTCCCTCCAGCCGCGACAGCAGCGTAGGTTCTCCCCTGGCCTGCGCTGTTGTCCTCCTCTAATCCCCACTTGATGTCAGAGTAGGGAACCTCCTCTGCACCTCCTTCCTCCATCGTCTAGATCAGACTATCTTTGGCCTTGATTTGGCCTGAGATGGTGCGTCCCTTCCACGTTTTCCCCTTAGACAGATCCTTGTGCTAGAACGTGGTAACTGGCGACGCTTGGGCGACAAATGCAACTGCCTCCCGACTAAGTGTATCGTAAGTCATGCCCTGTTGATTCTTCTTCTCGAAGAAGTGTCCCTGAATATTTTCAGGCAGGGCACGGTAGAAGAGGTTAAGGAGTTGCACATCAGTGACTCCATGCCCAGGGATCGCAATCAGTTCGTCCATAGCGGACTTTAGCGCATGCACACTCTTCCACTGGCGAGTGTGGATCATTTGGAGTTTGTCTGAGGCCTTAAGGCCCCGCGTGACATCAGAAAATCGCTCCCTGAGGGCTTTCAGGAAGTTGGCAGAGGTTGCAGGCCAGCGTCTAGTAAGTTGTCCAGAGATCGCTTGTGTTAGGGTCTCTTTAGGCGCTTCCCTCACAAGCTTAGCCGATGAACTGAGAGAGAGGAGGCAAGCCTGGGCCAAGATGAAGAAGGATAGTAAAGGACAGCTAATCCTCGCAGATGTAGAGATATTTAGAGCTAGAGTAGGAGCCCTCATAGACAGCGGGGCGACTAGGAGCTATATTAGTCGTAAAGCGCTGAGGAAGTTGAAGTTGAACCTA